AATCGGTTGACGTGGTCCAAAGTTATGCGGTAACATACATAAAAAAAAAAAACAAGATTCCGACGAACTGATAACCTCCTCCTTTTTTGGAAGTCGGTTAAAAATAAACGCAATCATTATAATAAAATAACATGCAGATACACCATTATACTGAAAAGTGTACGCTTGGAATATACTTTAACTACACGTATGCATGTACGTAATTTATGTATATGTAGATACATACATATATGTTTCCACCATAATTCATATATTTGTGCATATTCCCACATTCCTTCCAACCGAAAAGCATTTGCTTGCATTACTTACATATACATATGTGCATATGTATGTACGCTGTATGCATAACAAAATCCATACCCAAAACAAACGCGAAAAATATCTCCCATACAACGTCGTTGAAAATTTTTCGCGAAAAGTTTATCGCGATAAGCTGTTGTGAGTGATCGCGAATGGATTATTTGCATCGTTTTTCTTATTTATGAGAGGCCGACATCGGCAATGCTCGGACTTCTCATATTCGAGTGAGAGGAAATTTCTTTGCTTTTTTCGATCGCGAATGAAAAGCAGCGAAAATTTTTTTGTCGATCGCATTCCGAATGTGAGAGATGATAAATTTGTTTGCATTTTTCACTCGCGATAAAAGAATGCAAAAATAGACTTGGAATATTATCGATCGCGAACGTGAGAGAATGTGAGTGAGAATTTCCGAACCCTGGTCAGAACATGGTAATAGGTCGAAAACCAGTTATAGCAATGAAAACGTTTTTTCGGTGTCGGTGGGAGCATGGTATAAATGGGAAGGATTAAAAAGGATGGCACCTTTTTTGGCACTTTTATTTTTCTATTCGGTACTTTTTTTATCAATATGGCACCTCAAAGCTAAAGGTGTTGGCAGCCCTGTTCCGTTCACATGCATACTTGTTTGACACCTGTCAAACTTATTTGTAGTTTGAGCAAAACACGTGGGATTATTTGTGGCGTGGAATTACGGGTGCTGGAAATAATTTTTCGTGAATTAAGTGACATATTTCACAGTAAATATGGTTTGTATTCAATGAATTTCTGCAAATAAACTTGTGCAATACTTTGTGTTTTATAGTCGCAACTCTACGTCTTGTATGAGCATGCTGCGGGGTTTTCCCTATTTTCGGTCAAGGAATTTGAGGAAGTATCTATGTTCCTCCCTCAAGTGGAGGCATCCGTAACCGATGTTGCTAAATTCAATTCCATCGTAAAACTGGTGGGCTTTTCCCCATTCAAAACAGCCATTGCAGCGCTCGAAAATATCAATGCTATTTCGGAGGGAATTGCACCCCAAGATTTATTGGTTTTTTTAGATGATTTTTTCTCTAAGCTAAAGAAGAAGAAATGTACGCTGGGCATAGCTGATGCCAAGTTGGGCGCAGCTATAACTGAATCCATTGGAGTACAATGTAGCCATTTTGGGGCGGTACCAGAAATTATTCGTGGAATACGATTCCACTTTCACAGACTGGTTAAAGGTGAGTATTCCACAAAAGCTAGAGGTTCTTATTTATTAAAAGTAATTTGGGAATTTTTGTGTTTTC